ACCCCCCCCCCCCGGCTCAGCTCCGCATTTCCTGCTCTGCCGCGGCAGGAAACGCCAGCGTCGCCCTCATGCCGCTCCCGGTTGCCCTAGTGCCGTTCCCGGGCGTCATTACGGGGCAGGAAGCAGTTCGGCGTTTGGGGAAACGGCTGCTGGCTTCTTCCTGCCCCCCTGCGGGTCCCGGGGCCGCCCTGGCTCCCGGCCACGGGGCAGGCGGGCGCCCTGGCTCAGGGGACCCTGGCTCTCCGGAGCAGCCTCCCTTGCACCATACTGGCCGACTCCTCAAGGGAAGCAGGAAGGGAAAAAAAAAAAAGGATTTTTAAATTTTAATGTTGAAAGCATTAAAACGCTGTGGAGTATGTGGAGATGGCTTTGCTAGCTGTAAACAGTTGTCTGTTATTGAGAGAGGGCAATGTGCAGCCAGGAGAGCTCCAGGGCCTCCCCATCCTGTTTTTTTGAGGTCATTGTTTTCCATTGGCCTSTGCGTGAAAGCAGCAAAACCAGAAAGCGTTTTTTTTTACTGTTTCTGAGGGGTACAAATGGCTTTTATTATTAGAAGCCATGGTTAATAACGTAGGATGCCGGCGGAAGGTTGTAAACTCACTGAGAATTTTTGCAGTTCTGAAGAGCTGCTTCCATGTGATCGCTGCCACCTCCTCACCTGCAAGTCTTTGAAAATACCCACTGTGTTTCCTCTCCCGTCCTGCCGTGAAATTGCGATGTGATGTTTTGACATGACTGTTGCTCAAGCTTCTTTGTAGCTTGCTCAATCCCTCGCTTTCCGCTTTAGCGGTATTTGAGAGGCTTGATGGGAGAGCTGCTTGTCTTGAGATGTTTGTTGCCAAAGATACACTTTGGAAAGGCTTGAAATCTATTAGGAATTGAATACTCTGCTTCATCTTCCCTTTTCTGGATAATTCCAGGGCTGTATATTGAATGAGCAGAAATGAAATAAGTGCAGCATTCAATAAATTTAATGCTGTGTGGTTTTCCTAGGGAACCCAAAATCTAATTCAGGCTTGTGACCCATACCTGAGAGAAATGTTGACAGTGGAAGTAAAGAAGTCTGATTTCAGGCCTACTTTTTTTTTTTTTTTTTTCCTTT